AAACCCTAAACCCCTGAACCCAAAGCACATCATTGCCTAACGCCCGAAGCCCCAGGGCCTAAGTCCTGGGGTTCAGGCTAAGGTCGAACACAGATCTTTTGATCCTAGCCCCAAGCGGCTTAGGGTTTTAAGGGTTTCGGTTTTTTTGGGGTTTAGGGTCCAACCCTTTCGGAACTCCTACCCTAAACCCTAAACCCTAAACCCTAAACCCTAAACCCTAAACCCTAAACCCTAAACCCTTTCGGAATTCCTAAGCTAAGACTGAGACTGGCAGCATCCCCCAGAGAAGCAGAGGCGGCAGATCTGTCGCTGGGCCTCACGCTGGCCGCTCCCCGCCGGGATCCGGCCGGCCTGCAGTGGCGACATGCCTGCGAAGGGGTTTCGGGCTAGGGTTTAGGGTTTAGGGTTTAGGGTTTAGGGTTTAGGGTTTAGGGTTTAGGTTTATGGCGTTCTTACAGGAGTTCCTTAAGGCCTTGAGTCCTAATCCTAGACCCCAAACCCTGAACACGGGGATCTCTGAGGGTCCTGGACTAGGTGCCCCCTTGGGAAACTTTTGAAGTTCCGTTTATGGTTCCTATGGAGGTTTCTATTCATAAATACTTTTCAAGGGCCCGAAGCTACAGTGTGGGATTTAGGGTTTCGGGTTTTGGGCTTGGGGTTTAGGGTTTAGTAGGGTTTGGGGAGGGTGTAGGTGTAGAACATGTGCAGAAACGGCTTCAGGCCTATGCTAAGGCCCCTTTGCACTTCCTACACAGCCACGCTGTTGCCTCAGTAAGGTTTCTATGCAGAAACCCTAAACCCTGAACCCTAGACTGGAACCCTAAAGCCACAAACTCCACAAACCTTGAACCACGGAATCCCCAACCCTAAGGGTTTAGGGTTTAGGGTTTAGGGTTTAGCCCTACACGCCAAGCCCGTAAATTCTGGATTTTTGTTTCTGCTCGACACATCCGGCAAGGCTCGTCCAGAGACTCCGATTCTCCTTCAGTAAGGATCATACCTCAGATATCCGGCAACAAACGAAGATCTCACAATATGAAGGCCGGCATATTGCTGCATTATCCGCTGTTTAGCCCGTATAGTAACTCTTGTAATACAACCCTGAGCAATGACCGTCATATTAACCCTCATATACCACAACCCTTATGAACCCTAAACCCTAAACCCTACACCCTAAACCCTTGTATACCACCACCCGTATGGAGCCCTTACCCTTATAGAACCCCGAATGTGGAGTCTCTCTCCCAGACTCAGGCTTCTTCAGGGCGTGGCCGTGGAACCGACAGCCGAGGCGAATCTTCGTCGGGGGGTCTTTGGGTGTTGGGGCTAGTAACGGGGCCTAACTAATTACCAATACTCTTTTGGGGGTTCCTTAGTGTAAGTACAGTATAATGGGCCCCAAAACCCTAGTCTAATTATCAAGGCCCCTACATTATGGGGTTTAGGGTATGGGGTTGGGGTTCGGGGTAGTGAAGGGTTGAGGGTGGAGGAATTAGGGGTTCAACATTTATCTTCCGCTCGAACTTTACTTAGCTTCGGGTTTTAGGGTTGAGGGTTTAGCAAGCTGTGTAGGCATCATCTTGAGGTAACCAGCTTCTTGAGCATACTTAACCTTGGGTTTAAGGTTTAGGGTTTATTGCCATCCTCGAGGTAGCCATTCTTAACTTGCCTGCTATCGAGCCGCTAAACCTTGCAAGGATCCCAGCAGGTGCTTTACCCCACTCTGCCACCCCCCCCAGTGCCCCTCAATGGGAAGATACCTCATGAGCATATAGACCCTTCTTATCATGTTTTTTTTTGGGTTCTTCAGTATTCTCGGACTGCACGAGTCCGGCGAAGCAAGTGGGAATGGTGGCTATTCCACCACATGTTTCTTACTTGTTTCGCCTGATGCTGATTTCTTGCATATCTCCTTAAACACAGCCCTAGTTTCTCTTTCAACGGAACGCAAAACCCTAAGCCCTAAACCCTAAGCCCAGAGCTAAGGTGCGGTTTATAGCCCAATATGGCCTTCCCGAACTGGGGCCTCGCCTCTTGCGCCGAAAAGCCTGCCACATCTTGAACGCGAACCTGAGCACCTGGGTTTAGGTGTAGGGTTCAAAGAGTTTGAAAGGGCTTAGGGTTGAAAGGGTGTTTAAACGGGTTTATGGTTTAGGGTTTAGTATTGTGTCATCAAACTATCTACATAGCATAGTTCTATCTGTATATGTTATCGCCGTTTCTTTTCTCCCCTGGAAACCCTAAACCCTGAACCCTAAACCCGAAGCCCTAAACTCTAAACCCCAAACCTTGAGCCCTATACCCTAAGCCCTCAAACCCGAACTCTAAACCCCGAACTTTAAACCCTGAGGCCTAAATTCTAAGCCCTAAACCCAGAACCCTAAGCCCTAAACCCGAAACCCTAAACCCTAAACCCTAAACCCTATGCCCTAAACCATAAACCCCTAAACCCTAAACCCTAAAGCCTAAACCCTAAACCCTAAACCGCTAGCAGCAGAAGGAGCCTTCCCTGGTCGCCCTGTGTGTTCTCCTCATCTCGGAGACCTCCCTGGTGCCGGGCTTTTAAGGGCTCCTTTTCAGGGCTCCTTTAAGGGTTTAGGGTTTTAGGCTTTAGGGTTTAGGGGTTTAGGGTTTAGGGCTTTAAGGATTTAGGGTTTAGGGGTTTAGGGGTTTAGGCTTTAGGGTTTCAGGGCTCCTTGACGGGTTCGGATCAGGGCTCCTCTAAGAGTTCCTTTAAGGGTTCCTTTGAGGGCTCCTTTAAAGGGGCCTCCTTCAGTCGGGTTTAGCACTTAAGGAGCCAGGGTTTAGGGTATGAGGAGTAGTGTAAGGGCTCTTGTCATGGTTCTATAAGGGTTCCAGAAGTATGGGCCTTTTTTCATGGTTCTATAAGGGTTCTATAAGTAAGGGTTTGACTTTGGGCTTAGGAGGTTTTGGTTCGGGGCTTCGGGGTTTCAGGTGGAAGGTTGCGGGTTGGAGGTTTAGAGGTTTAGGGTTTAGGATTTGGGGTTCTGGCTTCCAGATGCTCGTGGCATCAACGCCACCACTCTACGTAGGTTTCTTATATATCGTTTACTAGGGCGACAGACGGATAAGAATAGTAAACCCTCAACCCTAAACCGAGCCCGAGTACGACTCGCGGCGTGCTCTGTGCGAAGAGGGTTTGGAGTCTCTGAGTACTTTCTTGGTGGTGTAGGATTTAGGGTTTTAAGGTCATGTTTAAGGTTTATATGAAACTTATACCCTAAACCCTAAACCCTAAGCCCTAAGCCCTAAAAGGGACGTGGCGGGAAGAGTGAAGGGTTAAGTGCAAGTCCCACAGGAGCAGGAAAAGAGTCAATGCGCTTAAAAAACCTAAACTCTGTGGGTCTCGGCTGCGGGTTGAGGGTTTAGTTACCGCAGGTTTTTTGCTTCTTGCGAACCCTCAACCCCCCTACGCCAAAGCCCAAAACGCCCTGAGCCCCAGACCCCAAGCCCCAAACGCTCTAGTTTTAAGCCGCAGAAACCCAGAGGCTCCGATATCCCTTAATTAAGGAGTATACCTTAAATTATAGTAGGACCCCTAATATGATTTAAGGTATATTCCTTAATTAAGGGATATTGGAGTCCCTAGGAACCCTAAAACCTATACCCTCGTCCATGGAGATCCGAATGATGAGCATCATTTTGTAAGACCGTTCCTGGGGTATACACGGAAGCTCTTGGGTAAGTGCAGTCGTAAAGGGAACCAAAACCCAGGGCCCCAAACCCGACACCCGACTCTCGAACCCTTGCAGAATCGGGATACGGTTGATGATATAAATCCTGCATTACTAAACTACCGATCAAGAGGAATGTACCATAATTCCCATAGTTTAGGGTCCTTAACGTAATAAAGGATTGATACCATCAGCAGCAGTTCCCTGCATACGGCCCCCTCTGCAGAAATCCTTAAAGGAGCTCTTCCGGGGAATTTTCTATGCGCCCTTCAGAGCGACCCCTTTAGAGGTACCCGTTAAAACGGACTCTTTTTAAAAGAACCCATTCAAAACGGAGCCCTTTTAAAGGGCTATCTCCCAAGGACCCTGAAACCCTAAACCCCTTCACCGTCAGGGTTCCTTTTTGAGTTCTGTGGGGTTTCTTGCAGCGAAGGTGCACTACACCCCGAGGCCCAAGGACTCCGTAGCCACTCCGGTGCTTTCGGCTGAAAGGTTCAGGGGTTTAGGGTTTGGGGGTTCAGGGTTTGGGGTTTGAGGGTTTAGGGTTTTAGGGGTTTAGGGTTTAGGGTTTGAGGGTTTAGGGTTTGGGGGTTCAGGGTTTAGGGTTTAGGGTTTAGGGTTCAGGGGTTAGGGTTTGGGGGTTCAGGGTTTAGGGTTTAGGGTTTGGGGGTTCAGGGTTCAGGGTTTAGGGTTTAGGGTTTAG